ACCATCATGACTCATGATGCTATAAATGCTATAATTTAACATCATTTCTGCTCATATTTATCTAGATTATTTCCAAAACCTAAACAATAGATTGCAGACATGTCCCGTCCAAAAGGTTGCTCTTCAATTCACTGATCACTGAGCATTGGACCAATGATGTGTTTCAGGGCTTGGCTTTGGAAACTAAGGTATGGCCAACTTTTTGTTTAGTCAATGCAGGTTTGGTCAGATGAATTTATATATCTTTTAGATAATGAGTTAGGGTGCGTTTTATAGTCAGGTTGGCTGGTTATACATCCTTTAGACTTTCTGCCAAAAGGCTTTGGAACTGAACTGGTTACAAATGGCTTATAATGTTGAATTTTGCAGACAAAGGGCAAAGTTTGTTGCTTTTGTTTTGCTTTGGAAGGAGTCCAATGTTCACAGCTACATTATATAATAGAGTGTTAGTATTCTAATATAATAAAAGCTGTAAAATACTCTAATATGCGTTTAGTATCACAGTAAACTCAAACTACAGCATATTTAGAGCAGGCTCTGCTATCTAGCCCTATGGTGCTTTCTGCATTAGGTGAAAGAGACAGTTATGCTTTGCAGTTGAAGCTGACACAGTTTTTTAATGTTAAGTCTAACATGCTAACATTTGAGGCTAATGACTGAGCCTTTTCAGTTCTGTTTAAAGAGGTCTTAGTGCAATAATTTCTAGAAATGCACCAATAAAGTTGTTTTTTCAATCCAATCTGAGAAACGGGCTGAACGTGTTGGCCCGAAATCTGATACCGATTTGTTTCAACTGTTAAATGGATGAACTGTATATCTTGCAATGTGAGTGAAGGCTTTATCCTTGACGTAAACATTCTTAAACAAGGGTAACAAATTAAACAAATATACATGTAGTTTATATTATTAATTAACAAATAAGCAACAAAAAATAAATAAATAAGTTCCATGTAAAGTGCCCTGGATTGGATCACCAATATCCAATAAAATCACCGATATCAGATAAAATCACAGATATCTGATTAAATCACAGATGTCCCAGAAAATCACACATATCCCATAAAATCACAGCTATCCGATATAAATCACAGCTGTCCAATAAAATCATAAATGTCCAATAAAATTATAGATATCCGATGAAATCACAGCTATCTGATGAAATCACAGCTATCCGATAAAAATCACAGATATCCAATGAAATTACAGATATCCGATAAGATCACAGGTATCCGATAAAATCAATGAGATCTGATCTAATCACAGATATCCGATAAAATCACAGATATCGTTCCATCGGATCGGTGCATTGCTAATAAATTCTCTACTGTGCACTGATCTAAAAACATGTAAAAAAAATAAATGGTAAACTTTAATAATACTAAACCTTAAGAATAATTTACAGAATGTTATTAATATGTTATGTATGACCCTTTTTTAAAAAAAATTAAAGGTTTGGATTTATAAGGAGGTGTACCCTATGCATATATAAGGAGCTATGGTAGAATATAAAAGAGTAATCACGTAGCACAGATTTATGGCACAGAAGGTAAGACCATGTTAAGAAAACAGATGTTAACTGCAGTATTATTTAAGCTGAAAAGAAAATTATGCATTCTGCCAAGTTTAGTAAGGCATGTTTTGGAGTGTATCAGTCTGGCATTCATAACTGCAAATACTCTGTGTATATTTATAAAGTAACGGTGCACTCAAAGCAGTGTGCAGAGTGAACGGACATCTGGTTACATTCTTCCCCTGCTCCATCCGATGTTTCCAAACTAAAGGGTCCAAATGAGAGGTTTTAGAGCTAGCACTGTGACATGAAAAATCTCCAAAGAAATAAGTTATGCAACAAGAATCAATCACTTTTATTGATAGTACAGAACCATCAAGTTCTTGCCAAGCGCTGCCCATGTATTAGAATACATAAAGTACAGAAAAAATATTTATTATGTCTAAAGGTAGATGGACGCAAGCCTGATATCACAGCACCTCTTAGTAGCTCCAGTGTTTACCTTTGGCCTACTATGCTCTGTTTGCTCTATATTATTTCTCTTTCAGCAGTTTATCCCCTTGGCTGCACGGAGAGAACATTTCTAAGCTGCCACTGTCTCACGTGTGTGTAAAAGCAGCCTCAAACAATGATCCCCATTTGTCAACTTCAGCCTTGGTCTCTAACTAAAGTGTGATGTCCCATTCGTTACAGTACATACTCACAACTCTTGTTGACATTGTTCTGGATCTAGACATCCTCTTTCTGTTGTTTGACTCTAACCCCTGCTAAAGCTTTCCACCAAGTTAACCCAAGAACTATGTTCTCTGTGATATATAAAAAAAGGGTCTGTTGTCTTAATAAAACTCATAAGTCGATTAGGAGGAGTGAAAATGATTCTTTGTTCTCTTATTTAAAGGCTTTACCTTCCATATTTAAGAGACCTATGACATTAAGGTTGTGCGTCAAACTGCAAAAATTGCTTTTGTTTCTGAAGCCATTCATCATCTTTAGACATTACATTTCAGTGCAGTGCAAGTTGTTATATTCATGGCTCCCAAGCAGCCAATTCTTAAATCTGAGAGGCTTTTTACTGAGCCACATCTAATTGCAGGGACAGTTGTGTGTTAAGGGCTATGGGATAGAGGTGACCTTAAAGAGGATGTGTTTGTGTTGGAGAAGGAAGGAGGTGTGCAGTGGGTGTGGGTGTCAGTGAGTGCACGGCTGTCTCTCTATGTAGGGAAACGCATTGATCACAAATGACACATTGATGGCTTGGCGCCATAGCACACCTATAATTCTGATAGGGAGGTGTGTGTCTTTAAAAGGTCAGCCAAACCAATAAAACATCAAGTTTTTACTCTGCAAAGATTTGGACTTCAATGTTTCCCCCAACTTATTTCAAGTAGGTCAAAGTACTACATTATCTGGCCCTGTCCACTCAAAGCTAGATTTGAGTATCTGACAAACTTTTTCCTTGGATATAGGGACCCAGACAAAGTAGCAGCAATTTGAAACCTGCCTCAAGTGTGAGAGAGTTTGAAGCTTCCCTCAAACGGTTTTGGCTTTAAAAAGAGAACTCAAACTGCTTAAATGCCGGTTTCCACACGTGAGCCAAAGCTGGATCAGCTGCTCCCTTAACAATCCTACATTATTCCATACAGCAATGGTGGTCAAGTTTTAGATGCTTTTCAATTGGGAATTCTACACCAGAGTTTGGTGATGTGGAGTCACCAAGCCATCTCCATGCTATGTATTTATTCTACCCAGCCACTGAACCAGATGATTCAAATCTGCACAATTTAATTTACTGTGCAGATTGAACTCACCTGGTTCAGTAGCTGGGCAGAACAAATACATGACTTAGCGATGACTTGTTGACCCCACATCCCCTACCTCTGTTTTACACACATTACTTAACTAACACTTTCTACAGTGTTTTTGTGGATCGTTTTATCAACCTCTCTTTTCTGTCACCTGTGTTTGTTGTTTAGGCCCAGTTCTTCTTCTTTGCCTAGGTACTTCAATCCATATTAGGTTTTGTACTATTCTCCACACCATGCTAACAGATAAATCATTTAGCTGTTTCAACCAGATTTCCTCCTGCTGATACGAGGCCTCACTGAATCATGAAACCTCTCATCTTGCTGAGTTCTGATCACATCATTTGGTGAAATGATCCCATAATTTAAAACTTTGGCTTAATTGGCACCTGTAATTCCAGTCTCTAGTTCGGATTCAGCTTCCAGAACAACATAAAAACACAGTTGTCTGTCTGAGGCAATAGCCTCTGCAGGAATCCAACTTGAGACTTTTAATTATGCACAAGCGGTTGTGAAATTCAGGTCCATGCTGAGCAGGAAGAAGCTGTGAGACTGTGCATTCAGGCCGCAGTAGATAATCTTTTTTCAACTCAACTCAACTCAAATCATTTAATTTAATTATTTCTGCTTTTATGCTGTTACTAGGACCACATACAGAGTTTTTTTCTCACCACAGAGAAAAAGTTACACCTGGCTGATTTATTTATTTATTCAATTTATTAATTGAAACAAATGAAATTAGATGGTTTAATTATGACCATTTAAAAATAATATGATGATGGATAAACGAAGATTATAAAGGTTTTTATTTTCCTTTCAAGTCAAAATGACTAAAAGTGTTGCTTAAATGACCTCACACAGGTCACATATATTTACTGTAGCTTTTTGGTTTGGATGATGACATTTTTAAGAATCATTTTGCTTTATTAATAAATATTTAGGAAGACTTTAGATGATTTTCCACTCAAAAAAATAACTATTTTCATATAATCAGTCTTGAAACTGAGGAATACTCATCAACTCTACTCTTACCTTGAAGGCATGAAATAGACTTCTATGATCTGTTCACCAAAACAGTCTCTAGCCTGAGGATCCACATTCTTTTAAATCCAGTGCTGCATATGCCACATTTAATCCTTCACAGGCGACAGTTAGTGCAGCAACTGGAGACCTATGTCACTCAGTGCAGTCATGTCTGTTTGAGTCTGCATGTGCGTTCATTGTCATCTGAATGCATGTCAGCTTGGGACTCGTGTGTCTCAGACTCTGCTTTCTGCCTAGTCGTTGCTAGTGTTGTTTTTGTGGTTGCCAAAACGTATCTCATCACGCTTGATGTTAGAAACCACATAATATGAAAGAAACTTGGTAAAATAAAAGAGAGGAAAAAAGCCCTGTCACCCACTTTGACATCTTCTTGAATCAAAAATGACTCCAGCTGAGATCAGTAGAACATGTGTAAAATTGTTTGTCTGATAGTTTTTGTGGGTAACAAAAGTTATAGTGAAGAGATTCACATCTCAGATGCAGTGTTTCTCCAATATGGTTTAACAACCAAAACAAAGTTTAGAGATGCTGCTAAATAATGCAGAGAGCTCCCCTTTCCTCACAAAGAAAGCTACTCTAGGAAGATTTTCTTAACATATTGAGTTGTATGCCTTCATGAAGTTTTTCGGGATTTTGTTTTGCAGAGCGCAGAGACGAGTCCAGCCAGCAGCATTCAGTCTCTACCCATCAGTCCTTGCAGTGAGAAGTCGCTTCCATTAAAGGTAAAAACGGGCGGACCGTTTTATCCCGTTTCTGCATTATGCCTGCGCATGTTTTTATTTAGTTATTTTGTCATTGTAAACAGAAGCATTATGAGAACATTATTAATAGATCCTGGTTGAAACATGCTATGCGGAAAGGCAGTGGCTCGTTCATTTATGTAGATGAGGCAGTGATTAATAATACACTTCACACAAACAGGAGATGACACATAGATTCTGATTGAGTGGTTGCTGCATATAGCTTAGACTAATGAAGCCTTATTTATAAACTATCTCCTCCACTGGTCAGACTTACAATACAATGAGAAGCATAAAGTCTATGCCTCATACCTCCATTGATTGACTTAATCTGTTGTTTTTGTATACAAGGGCTCCTTTGAAAATACATAATTGACCCTTATGAGCTACAGTGCTCAATGACTTGGCTGCTAACCATGAGCCAGAGAAAGGGTTATATGGAAATGGCAGTTAGGTTTTATAACAATAGTTGTTTGTGAGGCTCAAGGCCATATGGAGTTATAGATTTATAGGCAGCAGCATTGAAAATATGAAATTCGAACTTAGGGCTGACTCCAATTACTGCAATACACAGCTCTGGCCTGCCTGTCACATGTCTGCATTCAGAAAGGCTGGTTATTTTCAATTATGGCCTCTCTTGATGACATTACTTGTAAGAATGTATAGTTGGCCTGGTACGTTATTTCACTATCCAACAACCCTTGTTTTATAATAAGACAGACTTTTATCCTTCATAATAGATAGCATTTTATGATCGGTGAAAGTATAGCTGTTTTGGTGATTGGCTGGCGCACCCTTTGCATGTCTGTGCTCAGCTGCAGGTCCCCCCCCTCGAAGAGAAAACAGCTGTCCACACACAGCATGAGTCTGCAATCTGCAGCTCTGGAGCCACATTTGGCTCTCTTGGCTCCTGACACTGACTGACTATTAGTCTTTGGCCTAAACAACTGAGCAGTGTTTGGAAAGAAAAGGCTTTTTTATTTATTTATTTATTTTTTTTATCACTTACTGGAGCATTTTTTTTCCAATTATTTTTCAAAAAATGTTGACAACTGAATAAATATGAAATGCTCCATTTAGAAAAAAAAGATTGATTCTTGTTTTTGGTGGTTTAATATTTAGCTTTGTTACAAAATATAACAATTAAATGAAAATGATGGCTCATTACCAAAATAAGAATGCTTAAAAGCTGGGCATTCATAACATTATACAATATGACTGCATCCGCTGCAACGAAAAAGTAATTAATAGAAACCCTAAAATAAAACCAATCATAAAACACAATATTAATATAAATATAACGATTAATCATATTTGATCAATTACACAGGTAGTCAGTGCAGAGAATTTTACATAGGTTTGATGTGAATCCTTTTTATGGTCTTTTTCACCATTCTAGCTGTGGAAAAAAACTGAAGTAAGCCTTTAGTATGTTTTAAGGAAGACCAGAAAGCATCAATTACAATAATCAAAATACAGTAGTTAGTGTTGTTTAAACCAAAACCTTAGCATTGGACTGGTAGAAAAAAAAGCTTAAACTCATGCATTGTTCTTCAGATTATAAAATGCATTCTTTGAAATATGTTTCATATGGATTCTGGACGTTTTTAAATATTTTTGAGCTGATGTGTAGGATTGTGATGTGAGTTTCTCTTGTTGGGTCTGTATTATTATCTCGGCTGAACTTGGCTGAATTGTGTTTTAAGAAAACTCTTTGATTTATATATGAAGTCATAGATGACATATTTGAAAAGGCCATCAGGAGTAGGGTTGGGAATTGATAAGATTTTCACGATTCCAATTCCCTTATCGATTCTGTTAAGCGATTTGATTCCTTATCCATTCTGTTTAATGAAAAAGCATTACTGTACAATTTCAGGGAAATAAACTCATCTCCACCTGATTTGAATAAACGAGCGTCACCCTTATCTCGCTCCCTGAACTGCGGAGCATCTTCGTAGCATGTTTCGTTACATCCATTGCAATATCTAGAATCATGTAAGAATTCCATCCACCAGTAGTTCTAATTAAACATGCTAGCAATGAAGGGCTGGATTAACGAGAAAGGCACATTCCCTTAATAACCCCAAAGAGAGGTAGGAAATTGGTTTATTTCCAGAATGGCATATGATTGACTAGGAACCACATTAAGCACAGCCAGTAAAACTAGCTACAGTACTTACCACCAGAGTTTCCTTCCATGCTGGTCGTAACTTTAGCTTCTGTCCGAATGCATCAAAAACACGGCATTCTGTAAAATGTATGTGTGTGCGGGTGTTTCCGCATTTTGGATGTATTTTCTCCCGCGGATGTAACTGCCACTTTGCAATGATTGCAAAGCGCCTTATTGCCATCTTTCTCTTCCTTAAAATGAAGCCAAACTTTAGATCGCTTTACCCGATGGCACGCTATTTTTTTGTTTTGCTTTTCTAGACTTATGCCTTGTCACGTCATACTTGCTTTGCTGAATGCCGATTGCGTAACTGCCGTAAAGCAGCTGCTATCAACAATGAGCTGCATATTATCAGCCATAAGAAACCTATGGAAGGTAGAGGAGGTGCAGCCTGGAGCCATTCTATGGGACGGATAACGGCTAATAACGGGCATTTAGTGGTTGCTAACATCCGATAACAGAGGCAGAAAAGAACATTGCCTCACACTCACATCTAGTGCGCGCTGCGCTCACAGATTAACAGCTATACATTGGCCGAAGTTAGAGGGTTTGCCTGATTGCTTAAAAAAATATTAGTATCTGGATATTCTTGAATATCGGGTCCAGTCCTGCATCGGGTCGAGTACCGACCCGATGCAGGACTGTTCTGTCCCATCTAGGTAGAGAAAATGGTTGGAGAAGTTGTCTTTTTATTCCAACATGCTATAATGTTTTGGTTGGAGTTTAGTTGTTCTGCATTTTTTCAAGCCACATATCACACGCTCTCAGATGCCTAAAACAATCTGGTCCAGCTTGTTTAGCTAAAAGAGCCCAGATAGAAGCACGGCAGTTTGCCTGTGATCAAAAAATATGAAACTGAACCCTCCTTTGATCTGTGTGTCTCCTACAATTTTAGCCTTATCATTGCAATTAATAGCCTTTTTTTCCACATCAGCTCCTGCTGTATTATGAAGAGATGAAATAGGAAGAAAGAGATTGGAGGGGCAAAGCAACGCAGGGTAGAGGCAAAGTGAAATTTAGAAGAAGACAGCAAAAAGACAAAGATGAAAAGCGAGTGAGGTAGGGGCGAGCTGAATAAGAGAGGGGCAAAGTGCCTCACTTGTGTCGGCAGGCTGCAGACCCCCTCTGTCAGCCAAGTTCATCAGAGCCGTGTGATCTGAATGAGATTTATTAATCTCTGCAGGGAGCATGTGTGTGGGTAGCTGCTGAACTGCCTGCATACATGTAAGCGTGTGAGCAGGGTATAAATCTACCCGGAGAGGGCTTTTGGCAAGCTTTCCTCTGATATATACCATACTTAGATTGCGACAGCCTTCTTGTTAGGCTGTCACACCAGAGAGTGAAGTCCCAAGTCTGCGTCGCTGCCTGTGACTGTGTTTTTTCATGACACCTTATTATAGTTTTTTATATACAATCTTATACAACACAGCCATAAAGTACACACCCACTAGCAAGGATAGATCGTAGCTTTCTATCCAGTGTGCTTCTTAAAATTTGAATGGTTCCAGATCTATATCCTGATATATATTTTCAGTGAAGACTTCATCCTGAATTTTATATTATCTCATTTTATTAGGGTATGCGTTGGAGTGTGTGTATCTTAGTTAAAGAAGAGAGTGTGTGTTTGCGTAGCTGGCCTCCTTACTGACCTACATGAAGGATCAGTGGCAGCTGGATGTTATGGAGAAATTAAAAATGTAGCCTGGGACAGAGCCTGACGAAAGACAGTATGGTTTAAACCTTCTGGAATATTTGAAGTAAAAAAATGGAAGAAATAGACAGTAGGGGAGAAGGAGAAGAAATGAGCTAAAAGAAACATTATGCTCACCTTAAACGGTCCAAACTACTATTTAAGTCATTGCCAAATTAACCTTAAACTAATAAAAAAAAAAACCTTAACAACTAATTTCTTGATGTCGTTGCATAGAATAGTGAAATTATTCGCCGCAGTCGTCTGAGGTTTTCCGAAAATGTGGAAGTTTCCATCTGTGGAAGAACCATGTTGTTATTTTCTTCCCTAGACTTCAGTGTTATTTTTTTACTATAACAGTGGTTTCATTATTGTTTGATTAATAACTGGTCCACCAGTTAGATCTCTCCAAACTCATCAACCCAAAAGGCCAAAACCATGTTTTTTTGTGACAGGTTTAAACTGCTCAAAAAAAAAAAAGAAAAAAAAAAAAAGAGATGTATGTTTACCTATAGATATTTTAATAATATGACTACTAATAGTTATAGATTTTTTTTTGTCCATTTTCAGCAACAAGGTAGGGATATGGATAGAATAATGAATAGGTTATCCATGTCTGCAACATCTAGCCAGGAACATAAACATCAGTTTATGTTTTTCTTTTGTTTACAGCAAAATTAAACTAAGGCCAAGATCTGCATTATTAAATGTGTTGGCTGACATCAACTGCCTGTGCTGGTACCTGAAATTTGTACCCATTTTTATTCCTGGAGATGGTTCACAGAAAATGCAGATGGCCTTTGGACTGCAATTTGGATACTCCTGCCACAAATTATCACTCTCAAATCGTAATGGACAGGGGGCTATAGATGATTTTCAGGTGTTTCTGTGCGTCTGGGGAAACAACAAAACAAATACATAAAGGTATGGCACAGTGAGGGAAAGATAACCCCTCAGGTCAGGACACAGTAGTCCACCTGCTTTTCATTGGCTAGAGACACACATTTCAGGATAGTGACACATGATTGAATCCAGACGTTGTTTTATTTATTTTTATGGAACTAGTGCCTTGTTTTTTTAACAGTAGGCTGACAGAGAGGGGGAGAGACATATGGGAAA